TAAAAAAAAGCATTTAAAACTTCTAAATAGCTGTTTTGCTTGCCAATAAATAATTAATGGATGATATGAAACTTTGTGATATGTTTGGAATAATTTGGAAGGAAAGCACAACTCCCGAGAAGGGGAGGTTCCACATATGTCAAACATCTTCTGAGAAGGGACTATACAGGGTGGGGCAAAGTAGGTTTACAATCGTTTGTACGGAAAATAATACAATAATTAATAAATAATAATACAAGAATACACTGTGCTTCATGTACTCACAACTGTAAACCTACTTTGCCCCACCCTGTGTTGATACCAATTCAGAGGACGGAACTTTGGTATGTCAATCATGAAATTTCAATATTCTATATTCATTCATGTGACCAGATTACAAGGTCTTGGCTAACAGCCTGAGAATGCATAAAGACTATGAATGGAATGATAGTAATGAGGTTATCATCAGTCATAAGTTAACAACTCAAAGATAATGTAACAGGAGTTCTAATAGAAGCAACAGCATTGACTTGAACATTTTTATTTTATTGGAAACTTTAGTCTTATCTGAGGGTTCAAGATTTACCAGGTGTTGCTCTGTGTATATCTGGGTCAGTCATATTTCCCCCTCTTGACTGGCTTCAAATTTATTAAGAATATTAGTGCTAAGGCTTCTATCTTTTAATCCTGCTTCTCATTTTGTAGATAATGAGAACTGTTCTCAAAAAGTCTATTATGAAAAAGAAAAAAGTCTACTGTGGGCTGGATCCTAACCAAAGACTAGTAAGCAGAGGTTCCAGAAACTTGGCAGATGTTAAGTTTGTGAGTTGGACTGAAGGAGATCTCTATTTTACAAGTATTTCTACTCTATTCCAATTCTCTTACTTAGATATGCTGACGATCCTGATGAAAAAAAAAAAAAAACACCTTAAATTCTTTCAGCTGCAAGTGCACAGGTATCTTCCCAATAGGGAGAGAGAAACCTAAGCCAGTTCTGATGCTTTGTCTGTGAAGGATCCATGAATCTTCTCAAGGGACTTAGTCAGCACATCACATTTATGCTTATGCTAATGGGAAATTATTCTGAAGATACTGTTCACTATTCTTTCAGAGTCATTTTAGTAATTACACATTAACTTCTTCAAATACATTCATTTAAAAAATCCTTCTTAGTTAATGATATGGAAAACAAAGCCAATGTTCAATAGCTAATCTCAATGTATATATTTTCAAGATTATTTTATTTTCATTTTCTGGAAGGAGTTACCAAAATAGAAGCAACGAGGAAAGCCATCTTTGAATAAGGAGGAATTTTTGCCATTTCAGAGAGATGTTCGGATAAAGAGATAGGTCCACAAGCAAATCCAAATACGATCTCAGACTAGTCCTTGGGAGCCCTCCTTCATTTTTTACATTAACCATTACCTTAGGAGGAACTTCCTAAAATTGACATCTGTTTGTTGACTGATTATAAAAACTAACCTCTACATTAGGTGGTTAGCAGGACAATTTTCAAGGTTTTATTAGCTAAACCAATAAATAGCCAACTGGAATTGGGAGCAGAATATAGCTAAGGATTTTTAAAAATCGAATTAACTTATGCAAAACTCCTTCTGGTATCTGCAAGACAGGAAATGTAAAAAGAAACTGGAGAAATGTGGAATACCAATCGGAAAGATCGCAGCACCGAAAGCCCCTCCACATCTGCTAGACTCAGTTCCATTAAACTGAGGGAGACAATAAATCCGTCAAAAATGTTCCAGCCTTCTTGGAAGTAATAGTAGGGATCCATGGCTATGAGCTTCAGAAACATTTCCGCTGTGAAAATTCCAGTGAAAACCTGAAGGGGGAACGCATGGGTTAAGAAAAAGAAATAACAGGAGAATGGCTTTATCACCATCTTTGAATATCATATATCCAAGAAGCCTCAAGAACCAGCCTTGGTTAGATTCTGCATCCGAGGAATCAATATCTGGATGTCCCATGACCACGCCACATGATGCAGGAAAGTCTTATTTTTATTTTTACTTTTTAATATATTTTTATTGATTTCAGAGAGAGGAAGGAAGAGGGATAGAGAGATGGAAAGAAACATCAATGAGAAAGAAACACTGACTGGCTGCCTCCTGCACACCCCCTACTGGGGATTGATTCCACAACTGGGATATGTGCCCTGATCGGGAATTGAACCAGTGACCACCTCTTGGTTCATGGGTCAATGCTCAACCACTGAACAACACTGGCTTTCTTTCTTTCTTTCATTCAAATATTTTTTATTCACTGATTTTTAGAGAGAGGAAGGGAGAGAGATTGAGAGAGACTAGACATTAATTTTGTTGTTCCACTTATTTATGCATTCATTGGTTGCTTCTTGTATGTACCCTGATAGGGGATGGAACCCATAACCTTGGTGTATCTGGACAATGCTCTAACCAACTGAGCTACCTGGCCAGGGCCTTATTTTCCTCTTGAATGAAGTACTCAGCCCTAACGTTTACATCTTTGTTGCCAGAACCACCCAAATCACATGATTTAAATGTAGCTGAAAAATGATTCTAAGCAATGAGAATACCACACAGGTGACTGCTTCTAAAGGGTCAGCAGTCATTTGAGTATGCATGCCTGGGATGTTTGCCTAAATAAATAAATAAAAAATCACTCATCCTATTTAATAAAAGGCTAATATGCAAATCGACCAGATGGCAGAACGACCAGTCACTATGATGTGCACTGACCACTAGGGGGCAGATGCTCAATGCAAGAGCTGCCCCCTGGTTGTCAGTGCGCTCCCACAGCAGGAGCGCTGCTCAGCCAGAAGCCGGGCTCATGGCTGGTGAGTGCAGTGGCGGTGGCGGGAGCCTCTCCCATCTCTGCGGCAGCGCTAAGGATGTCCGACTGCTGTGGGGGCAGGTCTAAGCCATCAGTTGGACATCGTTGAGGGTTCTCAGACTGCGAGAGGGTGCAGGCCGGGCTGAGGGACTCTCCTTCCCCTGAGTGCACAAATTTCATGCACTAGGCCTCTAGTTGTTTTATAATTATATTAGGAAAACACAGCATTATTTCTGATTTGATATTATGTTTTATCAAACTTAAACATATGCTACAGGGTTTCTTGTTTTAAATAGTAAAGCAACAGAACATTGCTAAAAGTGTACAAAATACAGGAAAAACATCCATAGTCTCATCACCTTGCATACACTATCCATTTTATGTATCTCCTTTCTGCTTTTTTCAAATGTGGACACACTTTGACAAAGTTGTAAAATCGCTGTTACCTGTCTCCCACTCCTCTGCCTGACAGAGCACCTTGTGCTGCCTAATGCCCTCTGTGTCCCATGTCCTTAGTCACATGACAGGCAGCAGGGAAGTACAATGCCATGAACAAACCAGTTCCCTCGCTCCAAGCTTACCACATGACATCAGATTCTTACTAAATATTTTGTTTTTTAGAGGTGAAGACTTTAAATAACCCCAGAATGACTTGAAGGATAAATATCAAAATAGATTAAGTGGGCTACCAGTTTTTGGGGTCCATATACTTTTCTGTGGTTTCCCATTTTTCTACATTGCAGATGCAGTATTCTAAAATGGAAAGAAAATATGCCCTGAAGAGATCTACTTAAGCAAAATCAAAGTTCATTGGGCAAGCTAAGATCTACAGATAAAACATCCTGTCAAGTGAGGCCAGGGAAAGTCAGGGCAGCTAGTCAACTCCGGACATACACTTTACCCTAAGTGCAAACCCATCAACGGTTTCTCTACACAGACATGTTCGTCTGCTTGATGCACCCCAGGTAAAGGCTGCATTTGCTGTCCCACTGGTTCCTGGTGAACACACAGGAAGTGCCCGGTAATAAGCACTGGCTGGCTGACTACGGGGTATCTGTACTGTGAGAATGTGGTCCCTATGAGAAAATCAACAATGGCACAGTCCTATGGTGCTGCCTTCCAATGGGGTGAATGGCCCCCAGGTGCTGGGGCCTAAGCAGAGCATCTGAGCATGGGAGTAGCCTGGCGTGGGCGGTCAGAGCCTGTGCAGGCCAAAGAGGGGATCCACCTGGGGGGGCAGCCCAATACAAGCTGACTGGGATGAGGATGGCTGCCCAGCACAGGGTATCAGCGTGTAAGCAGGATGGAGAGCTTTCATGCAGGGGAAGCCTGGAGTGGGCTGAAGCGGGGGGATTCAGGTGGGGGAGGCCCATTGTGAGGCGTTCAAGTCTAAGTGGAGTGAGGGAAACAAGAATGTGTGGGGTGGCCTGGCCTGGGTGTCAGAGCCTGAGAAGTATGAGGAGGGGTCCACATGGAGGACACCAGTGAGGGAGCCTGAACAGTGGGAGGGCATCCAGCTGTTCGAGGCAACAGTGGCTTCTGGTCAAGTAAGTTAACCTATTAAAGACAATGGTAACCAGGTTTCTTTTTGTTAGATAAGGAGCTACACACATAGGAAGGAGAAAACCAGAATGAATCCTGCAGGGCTGGGTTAGAACTGGAAGTGACAGCATGAACTCACGGTTTTCAGCATAGTATACAGTTAGCTTAAGAGCAGCAGCTAGCCCTGCACTGAGAGGGCTGAGGTCTGCATATTGCTCCAATAGATCCTCACTTCTAAATATCATTTTCTACTAACCCAGGGCTGCTTGGGAAATGGCTAATTCCAGGCCTGAGGCAGAAAAAAGGTAAAATTAGCTTGGGAAATCTTGTGGTACCAGAAAACAAGGAAGTAATGAAAACTCGATGAAAGGACCCAGAAGCCATCCTGAAGGGACTCCCATTGGCACGATCTGGAATGGTGAAAACATCGAAGTAAATGACAGTTCTAACTCACTGGATAACACTGAAAACCATGAGTCCATACTGATATAATTAAGTAAAGGAGTGAATCAGAAATTTAATGAAGAACAGAAAATTCAGACAGTTTTAAAGTACCTTCATCACAGATACTTATCTATACTTATAAAAGGGTAATATGCTAATTAGACCCGGTCAACCGGCCATCTTCCAGACGTCTGACTTCCTTCCGGACAAAGCCATGGTGTTGGGGGCCAGGCAGAGGCAGTTAGGGGCGAGATCAGGCTGGCAGGGGAGAGCAGTTGGGGGCATTAGGCAGGCAGAGGGCAGTGGGGGCAACCAGGCTGGCAGGGGAGGAAAGTTGGGAGTGAGATAACGCTGGCAGGGGAGGGCAGTTGGGGGCAACCAGGCCTGCAGGGGAGGGCAGTTAGGGGCGATCAGGCAGGCAGGCAGAGGGGTTAGGGGAAATCAGGCAGGCAGGTGAGTGGTTAGGAGCGAGCAGTCCCAGATTGTGAGAGGGATGTCCAATTGGAAAGGATGCAGGTTGGGCTGAGTCCCCTCCCCGACACCCCTGCACGAATTTCGTGCACCGGGCCACTAGTTAATTATAAATGGTAAAGAGTAACTTTACAGGGGAGAAGCCTGGCAGGCACCTCCTCAACCAAGTCACCATCACCAGTAATGACACAAATGAAAAGTGTGTGCCACCTGGCAGGTGCAATGAGAGGACAGCCTCACTTGTGTGATATTCCTGCCAAATGCATAGCTTAACACATTGCGTACTGCATAGAAATCTCTAAGACATACGCCAGGGACCGCACGTTTTTGGGCAAACTGCATGTTATTTAAATCATCATAATGCACTTTAGGTGTTGTTTTTCAATAATTATAACATTTTTATTTACAAAAACAATTAAACAATTAAAGTTCCTAGTACTTTTTTAACGTATGGTACTGTGTAAAACATTTTCCTCTATGAAGAGGGAACAAGCAAAATTTACATAAGTATCTAGATTCACTCCTTTTTCCATGGGCGTGAAAAACGAGAACACTCGTGAGCGGTCCTTAACGATGGCGCGCGAAACATGAGAAAACTCCTGAGTGGTACGAAATGTGTTAAGCCTAACCATGAGGAAGCATCAGACAAACCCAAACTGAGTGAATTCTACAAACTACCTGGCTTGTAGTCTTCAGAAGTGTCATGGTCATGACAGTCAAAGGAAGACTGAGGCACTCACCCAGGCTGAAGAAGATGAAAGAAAGGACAACTAAATGTGATCTGTAACTCTGAAACGGAATCCTGTGTTATAAAGGATATTACTGGGGCCCATGGGAAAACTTGAAGGGGCCTGAGAAGTAAATGGCTGCAATGAATCCATGTTAATTTCCTGACTCTGACGTTAAATTAAGGTTCTCTGGGAGAATGCACTTGTCCATAAAAAACACACACTAAAGTATTTTGGGGGTGAAAGGCTGGGTCAGCAACTTACTCTCAAAAAAAAAAAAAAGTGTATACTATACTTGGAACTTCCCAGTACGACTGTTTAAAAAAACCACCTTATAAACCTACTGTTGTGTTCAATTGGTTGCAAAAAAAGGCAAGAAAAGAATCATGAAAAACAATACAAAAGTTGTGTAAGTCACATAGCTGCCCTGGGCTTCAACTTCCTTTAGAAAACACGGGAGGTGGATTGAATTATCTGTAAAGTTCCTTCTATTATTAGATTTTTCTTGTGAGGAGGGCAGAAGAGGCAGGGATTATAGATTTACAGAAGACTGTTCTCATCTTCCCTCAGAAATACCTCTCTGCACCTCTACAGACAGACACACCTAACCACTGTCCTGGCTGTGGGAAAAGCCTCTCATTCCAACAAGAAGTCAAGGGTGTGCTCACATCGGGTTAGTCTCACCTTTTCTTATCCTCTTTTTCTCAGGTTTCTATCAAAGACTTTGCCCAAATCTCCAAGCCTTTGAAAGTTCTCCTATTGAGTTACACTAATACAGTTCCTAAGATTTATAGAGTACTTTTCATGATTCCAAAAACTTTGGTTTAAGTTCTCATTTTATCCTCCCACCCACTGATGGATGACATGGTATTAGCCTCATTTTACAGATCTGCAACAGTTCTGGACAGAAATTAATGGCTTACTTACGGTTAAATGGTATCAAACAGGAATCAAAACCCAAACCTTCCGACTTCTAATTCTGTGTTCTTTCTGCCAAACTCAGCACGTGTGTTAATTGGCAGAAAAGTACATTTTTGAGCTTATGTTATTATTCAGAAAACACTCATAATGCAAGTTTCCCCGAGGTCCAGCACATACCAAACCGCCTCATTTGGCATCTTCACTCTGAATAAATAGACATCTCATTCTGAATACATCCAAATAGAATTCTTGATTTAAAACTCCAAACCTGTTCCTTCCTCAGTCGTGCCATTTCCCCTGCTGTAACTACCCCCCTAAATCTAGGCACTATTCTTCATTTCTTTCCCGTCGCCCTCACATGTAACCCATCAGCCAGTCCAAAGCATCCTGGCCACGCACTACTCGCCATCCCCATTGCTAATTGTACCCTCACTTTCCCCCTTGAAACACCACCCCACCCAGTGCTTGCTTATTGCAGAACCTGGTTGTGGTTAGTGTGCCGCATGGAGTCCGTAAATATTACGACCTCCCATATCCTCTTTCTTCACCAATGGTTCTGGGCAAGGTCTTCTGAATGCTCACAACTGTAATTTAGGTGTGGCCCTACATCTGTTTAGAATTTTAAGAAAGGGAAAAACCATGGTATTTGCTGGTTTGAGGGCCATTCTGCTGGTAGTAGGTGAAAAGGTCTCTCAGACTCCCTTGGAAATTGAGAACCTGTTCTGTAAAAACTTTGAGAAAAAAATGCTATAAGGAAAACAGCAGCAACAGCACCACCACCAACAAAATCCATCAAGTCATATTTCTTATTACTTAACTCATGGCTAATACAATAAAACTTATATCTATATAATATTGTTGGTTGATTCAAAATTCTGCTTGATGGCCAGCTACTTATACAGCAAGCTTACTTGAGGCACCTTTCAGAGCCAGTGAGCACATTTCCTGGACATAGTTCAAGACTATGGGTATTTCAGCCCTGGCCAGTTTCCTCAGTGGTTAGAGCGTTGGCCCTTGGACAGGTCAATTCCCCGTCAAGGGCATGTACCTCAGTTGCAGGTTCAATCCCCGGCCCTGTTCGGGACATGAGTGGGAGGCAATCAACCCATGTTAGAAACATCTAACACATCATTGTTTCTCTTCTCCGTCCCTGCCCCCACATACTACCTCCCCTCCATTCCTTCCACTCTCTCTAAAACTCAATGGAAAGAATATCCTCACTCCTCAGGTGAGGATTAAAAAAAAAAAAGACTATGGGTATTTCATCAGGCTGCATATGAGTTCACATCAAGCAGTGAGCTAACCTAGACATGGAAACTGGACAGACCACAGAATCACCTTGGGTGTGTACCAGGAAACTCAACGGACTCAAAGGATCGCTCTTGCCACATGTGTTTTTAGAATCAGAACTCAACACGGTGTTATAATGCTTTAATAGTGCATTAGGACTTAAGGCAGAAACGTGTGTGTGTGTGTGACACAGAGACAGGCAGAGAAAGAGATAGAGAGTAAGACAGAGGTGAAGGGAGTAGGGAAGGATAGGGAGAGGAAGGGCGAGAAGTTGGAGGACAGGAAGGGTGAGGAAGGCAGGAACAGAGGAGAAAAAAAGATATACCAGGCAGAGATTATGCTCAAATTAAATGGTAACAAAAGATTAGACATGCCTATGGCGAGACTCCTAAAGAATAAAGAGGCCCAGACGACCTAGAGGATTCTTTCCAACTAATTCTTTACTATCTATCAAATTCAACCAACTCCTGATTTTTGCACCAAAGAAGTAAAACAGATAACAACTACTTGACCTCAGACTCCGTTGTGTAATCTGTTTTTCAAAAGTGTATATTATCTTCTAATTAATATCATAGATGACATATAAGACTTACACTAACATTAAAATAAACTTGGCCCAGATCAACTAATGGGAACTGGATGACAGCCCGGAAGTTGGACTGGAGGGGAAACCAGCCAGAGTTAAAATGTCCCCGAGACAGTCCCCATCTGGGTAGGAGTGTGACCGTGCAGGCCAATTTACAGCTACACTGAATGCACTAAAGAGCTCCCTACTGTGTGCTGGTTGTCACTGAGGGTGAGAGGGGAAGGATCTGCTGGACCGATGCAGGAATCAGTGTGAGAAGCAGAACGAGGAGAACCCGGAAGTCCCTGGCTCAGGCTACTGAAGCCTGTGCCAGGCCTCCCATTCCGTCACCACAGCTGGCGTTCAGCCAGCAGCTCCTAGCGGACAGAAGGACGTCTTCTCGATTCTGCAGGAGGAAGCAGCCCAGGGGTCACAACAGTGAGCAGAAGCGGCTGGGGCCCGCGACATATGTGGGAGCATCTGCCTTCCAATTAACTATCACTTTCTCTTCAACCAAACCCCTGCTTTCAGTCTCAGAAAAACACGTCCTACAGGCAGCACATGTTCAGATCACAAAATCGGGAGATGGCGCTCTGTCTTACCAGATTCCCCACAGACAAGACATGTTCGAATTGTGGCGTCATCGGATGGTGCTCCATCGCCATGAACAGTGTATTCAGGACGATGCAGATGGTGATGGCCAAGTCCACAAAAGGGTCCATAACGATCAAGTTCACAATCTCTTTCAGTTTTATCCAGTAGGGGTGACACTCCCAGATGAGGAACGTATTGGCGAATTTATACCAGCACGGCGGGCACTTCCTCTGGGACTCTTCCAGCTCTGCAGGGAGTAAAGAACAAAGGTGGCCCCTCAATCCCAGTGTGGGGACAAAGGAGACGGCTGCAGATCCTCACGGGGCATCATCGCCGTGATCACGTGAGGACAAAGTGCAGACTCTCCCTTGTGTCCCTCGGTTTTCCTTCTCAAAGGGAGAGAGGAGGCAGGATCAGTACCAGGTCACTTCCCTGTTAATAACGATGATCGAATTATAAACAAAATTCAACCCATCTGTTCGGGAGCACGCAGAGGAGTCAGGAGCTTAGCCTCTGGAATCTCATCTGGCTTCAACACTTACCTGTGGGAACTTGAGCGAGTGATTTCAATTTCCTGTGAGAATTAAATGAGCTAAATTAAAGTGCCTCAGAAGACCCTAGAACAGTGGTTCTCAACCTTCCTAATGCCGCGATCCTTTAATACAGTTCCTCATGTTGTGGCGACCCCCAATTTCATTGTTACAAATTGAACAAATTAAAGCATAGTGATTAATCACAAAAACAATATGTAATTATATATGTGTTTTCCAGTGGTCTTAGGTGACCCCTGTGAAAGGGTTGTTCAACCCCCAAAAGGGGTCGCGACCCACAGGTTGACAACCGCTGCCCTAGAACAACATAAGCCAATGACTAAAATTCTGCGGTACACCAAATTATATATATTTTTCTGATCTGACCAAAAAAAAGGTATAATTTTGATTCATTCACACTGGACAGTTATTATTGTGTTGGCTGTTGTCATTTTTTAATTTGACAATCTAAGGGAAAAGAGGTCAGTACCCGATTAAATAGTTAGATATTGCATGTTTTAAAAACTCTTGCGGTGCACCAGTGTGCTTTGGCACACCAGGTGAGAACAGCTGCCCTAGCATATACTAAGTGCTGCCGAAATATTTGCTATTGTTATTATCTTTACAGCAGGATCGGCATCATCAACCACGCCACCATGTGTTCGTATGTCCAAAGAAGTATGTCAGTGAGTTTACAATTCATAATTCAGTAAGAAATGTTGTTACATTCCTTTTCCCTTTCCTCCCTTCCTTCCCCTTTCTCATCTCTCCTCGTCCTTCCTCGTCCTCTCTTACCCTTTCCCACTTTCATCCTTTCCTTTTTGCTTCATCTTCTTCCCCTCTCCTTCTTTTGTCTTATCCCTCTCTTTCTGTCTGTCTCTTTTAGAAACAGAACCCGTTTTCTTCCAAACATGATTTTATGTAAGCCCCAATATGTAAATACACAAACCAGGAATTGCTCTAGTTGAGACAAGAAGAGGAGCTTAGAGCCAGTCCAACTGACTTATTCCTTTCCTGAGGGACTTCCCTAATCCTAGGACTCTGATAAACACAGACTGAAAATCACTGAACTAGATCATCTCTAAGGTCGTTTATAAAGCAAAGACCAAAAAGGATGCTTAGACCCTAAAGGCAGAGAGCCATTCAGCTGGCAGCCACAACCACCTGGGCACGAGGCCCTACAGAACAAAGCTCTCCCCAAAATGAGTGTGAAATATAATAGCTAGGATTCCGAAAGTCCAAGGATCTTGATCCTGGAGAATGTTAGGAGATGTAACTTTGCAAACCTGTCAGCATGATAATCCTTAGAGGCACGGTATTGGTTCTAGAGGGTTGGCTATAATGGCACCACCCCCCGATCCCTGCCCAATTCTTCTGACAAAACCAAATCATTCATGGAATAAAGGAAAGTTTCCCAACATTTCACCACCAACAAGATGGAAACCTTCAATTAGTCTACTTTCCCTTTTCCAACCAGTTGGATGGTGCCTGTGGTAATGGCTTTATTTTAGATGGGGTGCTTTGCTGGGTTTCTGATTGGCTCCCTGGTTGCTAAGAAAATGGTTGCCTTGGTTTTTCTGATTTAAGGGCCACAGTAAGCGCCACGTGGGAGTCTGCGTGGGAAAGGAAGTCTGTGAAGAAAATTTGCTTTGGCTTCTTCCTCATAGAACTCCCTCCGTTTCCAAGGTAAATTTAGTTTTCTTCCCCCCTCCTAAAAGAAATAAAATGAAAAGGTTCATTCTCTTACTTCCATAAATTCTTGTAGTACATATTTGGAAATCTGGTTCCGTTTCTTTTTTTACCTCCTCCCATTTCTAAATGTCTGCTGTTCACCAGCACAGTATGCACGTGGAGGTTGAAGCAGCTACTGTTCACATTTCTGACAGTTGACACAATTGTAATGTTTTATAATGAACTAGAGGCCCGGTGCACGAAATTTGTGCACGAGTGGGGTCCCTAAGCCTGGCCAGCAATCAGGGCCTATTGGGGCCAGGCCAGCCGGGGCCTGCTGGCTGTCAGCTGGGGCCTACTAGCTGCTGCTGGGGCCTGCCAGCTGCCAGATGGGGCCTGCTGGATTGGGGGAGGGATGGGGGGAGGGACTGCGGGAGGTTTGCTGGCCAGGGGGAGGGACCGGCGGAGGTTGGCTGTGGAAGTGCACTGACCACCAGGGGACAGCTCCTGCATTGAGCACCTGTCTCCTGGTGGTCAGTGTGCATCATAGCGACTGGTCAACCAGTTATTCTGGTCATAATGGTCACTTAGGTTTTTATATATATAGACTAGGCTCCAAGTCTTTACCAGACAGCAAAGAGGGGTTTCTCTGCCCTGTGGGGCACCAAGAAGATTCCTAGAGGGATATGAGATATCTCTTAACCACCTTTACTGAGCAAAGGGTAGATCTTCAGGATTTTTTTCATTTCACCCAAAGTAAGACAACATAGAATGTTAGGAACTAGAAAAGATCACTAGGTGAATAAGGAAGTGTATAAAGTAACTCACAACTTTGCAAACTTAATGGCCTCACGTGCCTGGAATAGGGGAAGTAACTGATTTGGAGGAATGAGTTAACATGGGGGATGAGATGTCCAAAGGTTTGTGGGGTTTCCTTACCTTGCTCCTGGACGTTTTCAGAGAGGGTACTGCAGGTCTCAACTTCAGGGCTACTGGGAATTGTTTTCAGAGAGGGCCTCATAATTCCACCGAGATGGTGGCATTGGCAGACCATGAGGTTTCTGAAGGCAGGGGCTTCTCTCAATTCAATTCAACAATGTATATGCACCTATAGTTTGTGAGGCACCGGGAAAACGCTGATGAACGCGAGTCCCCATCCTCACAGAGCTTACCATTGCACCGGAAAGGCAGAGAGATGCCAGAGAAGTGACTGTGCTGACACCTGATGTTTGTCGGTTGAATAAAAGAATGAGTAAGTATGCCCTAGCTCAGTGGTCGGCAAACTCATTAGTCAACAGAGCCAAATATCAACAGTACAACGATTGAAATTTCTTTTGAGAGCCAAATTTTTTAAACTTAAACTATATAGGTAGGTACACTGTTATTAACTTAATTAGGGTACTCCTAAGGCTTAGGGAGAGCCACACTCAAGGGGCCAAAGAGCTGCATGTGGCTCGTGAGCCTCAGTTTGCCGACCACTGCTCTAGCTGGTTGGGCTCAGTGGAGAGAGTTTCGGCCTGCAGACGGAAGGGTCCCAGGTTCAATTCCAGTCAAGGGCATGTATCTTGGTTGCAGGCTCTCCTCTCCCTTCCTCTCTGATATAAAATATATTATATATATTTTTAAAAAAGAATGAGTAAGTCATTTGTGGCAGCAATAGCTACAGCCAGCTACCTCTATAGGGGAGCGTTTCAAACTGTTTAACCCGAGAATAAGTAATGCCAAGTACCATCACTACGTCCTCATTCTTACTTTACCTACTCTCTCCCCTTCCTTCTTCCAGGGCTTTTCTGCTTTGAGAAGTCAAACTACACTACTCTCTGCCTACACCCCACCTCCAGGCCTTTGAAATATCCCCAAAGCTGATGGCTCCCCTGACTGAATTCTGCTGAGTTTATTGGATCCCGGTGAGCATGTCTGCAACCGGACAGGGGTGAGGCAGAGCAGGCAGGACTTTCTCATTATTTACAGAATTCTGGAATTCTCCACTGTGGTTTTATTTATTAAGAAATATTTTTTATCCTTATCCGATGATATTTTTCCATTGGTGAGAGAGAGAGAGAGAGAAATATTGATGTGAGAGAAACACATCTATTGGTTGCCTACTGCGCACGCCCTGACCAGGGCCTGGGCCAGGGAGGAGCCTGCAACCAAGGTACTAGGTATGCGCCCTTAACTGGAATCGAACCCGGAACCCTTTGGTCCACAGGCCAATGCTCTATCCACTGAGCCAAACCATTAGGGCTCCACTGTAGTTTTAAGCAGGTAGGTAGGAGTCTGTTTCTTTGATTTTAAATAATAATAATTTTAATACTTGGGTTAAAACGTCAGGGCTTCCTAACTGAAGGTCTGGAAAGCAGGAACAATTATTCATTCAATGCTAGCTTTTCACATTGTAGCGATCTAGCGACCATTAATCCAGAGGGACCAGAATGATCTTTCTTAGGGTCTGTAATTCCCTCTTCACATTATTCAGCTCTGGCCATTCATCGTTCTTTGCTTACAGCAGTTGTCTCATCAGTTTTATCAAAGGAAGTCAACTACTAGGAGAGGGGATAGGAGGAATGTTTGAGCAGGAACAGGCAGTAAAGGTAAAAGTGATGTGAACTTCAGGGCTTAGAAAAGGGGAAATGAACTGGAATGGCCTCTTACCCAGGAACACAGTTACAGTCATCTCCTCTGAGCTACCCTTGCATCTATTTTTTTCTTTAATCCTCACCCAAGGATATTTTTTCTATTGGTATTTTTTTTAAAGAGAGTGGAAGGAAAAGAGGGGGAGGGGAGAAGGAGGGGAGAGAGAGAGAGAGAGGAAGAGAGGGAGAGAAACATCGATGTGAGGGAGACACATCCATTGGTTGCCTCCTGCACCCACCCAGAGCAGGGTGGGGGAATGAACCTGAAGCTCAGATACAAACCAGTGACCCTTCAGTGCGTGGGCTGATGCTCTACCACTGAGCTACATTGGCCAGGGTTGTTGTTGTTGTTATTATTATTTTATGTGTGTGCTGGTGGGTGGAGAATGAGTAGAGCCGAACAGAAAGATAAAGAAGAGGAGAGGGAGAACAGGAAAATAAGGGAGTAGAGAAAGGCAGTAAAGCGCCAATGATTTAGATCTAACTCAGCACAGGGACAAAAGTACTAGGTCTCCAGCAGAAACCCTGCCACACCACCACTCCCCACCACTCCAAGCTCAGCAAGATTCAGTTCAACAAGCATTTCTGAGCATCTACTTCTGCCAAACCCTGTGCTAGGTCACCGAGGTAATCAATAAAAAATTGCTGCATTGCTTCGATAGTTCTCCTGCTCTGAATGTCTTTGCCAATAATAAAATATGCCTATTAGAGGTCGTTAGTTTTCTTTCTCAGCTGCCATAGATACTCAGATAAATCTTGTCTTGGTGTTCAAATGAAGAATAAAATTAGCCAAGGTTCTTAAACTAGTGTTTCTTATCTTGAAATGATCTGCAGTTATCACCTGCAACCTTAAGTATAAGCTACAAAGAACTTAAATATGTTCTATCGGCAAGGACCCTGATGGGATGGAAAGAAAACAGGAATCACTGAAGTTGTTTAGGTGGCTGAAAGCAGTAGGTTCAGTATTGTTTTTACCTGATATTTTCTCCAGATTAGGCAGGGAAAAGTGTAGCGCCTTATAAACACTCCTTGTAAACACTTCAAGGGAGATCCTTTCTGGGGATTCCCCCTTCACCGCAGACGCCCCTGCCCAACACACACACACACACACTCTCACACACACACACACACACACACACACACACTCACACACGCACACTCACACACACACACTCACACACTCACAAAGTGGTATTGGTCTTAAATGACTCAATGACTCAAAAAATAACTTGTCTCAAGGACACCAGGATCATTTTGAGTCTCCTGATATCTGAGACTCTGGCTATGGTTGGGTTAGTCTGGTGTTTGAACTCTGAAGGTAGGCAATTTGAGGCCTCAAGAATAGTCTGTAACAGAACGGATAAAGAAGTGTGGTACATATATACAACGGAATAGTACTCAGCCATAATAAAGAAGGTAATCTTGCCATCTGCAACAAAATGGATGGATCTTAAGGGAGTTATACTAAGTGAAAGAAACCAGACAGAGAAAGACAAATACCACATATTTCCACTTATATGTGGAATCTAAACAACCAAATAAATGAATAAACAAAACAGAACCAAACTCATAGGTACCTAAAACGAACTGATGGTTGCTGGATGGGACTGGGGTTGGGGCACTGAGTGAAAACAGGTGAAGGGATTAAGAAGTACAAAATGCCAGTTATAAAAACAGTCATGGGGATGTAGGTACAGCATAGGGAATATAGTCAATAAATTGAAATAACTAAGTATGGTGTCAGACGGGTACTAGACTTATCAGGTGATCACTCTGTAAGTTATGTAATGTCTGATCACTATGTAGAATACCTGAAACTCATATTGTATTCTAACTGTAATTGGGGGAAAAAAGCTGGGTCTATAATGGGACAAGTCAACTAAATCAACACGAATCAAATGAAGAAGATTCATACAGAATCAATCAGAACTTGTGAGAGAAAACTTCGCCACTGAATCGACTTCTAAAGAAAGCAAGAGGAGCCCGGGATGCAGACCCTGATTGCATGGAAAGCTAGCACTTGCTGGGGACAGTGGGAACTGGAGCTCTCTCAGGTGTTCCTGAGCATGCCCACTGCGTCATGGAGGAGCCACCTAATGCTGAGGTCGGGCACTGACAGCAACATCACTGCAGGCATGCTACAATTCAACAGCAGCTGCTCTGTTGGTGGCACAGTGCTGGAGAAGAGGGGTTTCAGCGCATCTATTCACACATCAAACGTATTTAAGGCTATATGAGAGTGCTTGAAGAGAGGCAGAATTAGGCGCAATCGAAATGCACAGTACATTCATCCTTAAGGGAAAACCATAAGTGTTCTAAGTATCTGAAAAGGAAAAGAAGAAGGTATGTTTTGGGGCGATGGGATTCCATTATCCTTTATCTTCACAGTTGTTCAGTCTATATTCCTTTATGCCTTACATCACCCCACTGGCTCCTCGTGATGAAAATTACAGAGACTTCTTCAGATCTTCTAGCTCACACTTATGTCACTCTTTCATACTTATTATCTGTCTGTGCACAATGCTGGCAGCAACTTTGAAGTCCTTATTGAATTCTCTGCATGCAGATTTGGGCTGCTGGTTTCTATGACCAGCACACTATTCCTAAAGCTTAGAGGCAATTTTTGCAAAACTCAGACCAAGGGACAGGGATTATATTTATCAAGCACACTACATATTTGTATCTCAGCAGCTTGGACTGACATCACAGGGCACATACCTTCTACTAGTGTGTTTGTAACAACACTCAGTATACTGTTTATCCTGTCCTTCCGCCCATAGGAGGCCAGTTGCTCCATGGAAACTAAGAGAGATCCAGGACCTTTCTTCTTAATTTCCACTTCAGTTGTACCCTGAAAAAAAAAAAAAAAGCAAATGGGGTGAGTAGTCTTATAAACATTCAGGCTGGGCCTTACCAGATCAATAATCCAGGCTGTGAGCAGAAACATATGCTCTTCCTTAAATTTCTTACTTTAATCCTATAATCAATCCTATTGACCTCAAGAAGCAGAATGCTATAACTTAGCCAAGGACTATCCTTACTTCTATAGATGACAAGACCAAGTCATTTAAGTTTGTACAAATCTACAATGAACCCGAGTCTGGCTGGGACCCAAATACCTCATCTGCTTAATTCCAAACCTAGAATAGAAAGACCAGGTCCCCTGGGGCAATGCCATCAGAAGCAGACCCTGAATTTTCCTGGCCTCGTCTCATATCCGCAGCATTTGACTAGAATTGGACCACACCATAGAATAAGTCAAATTCACCTCCATTTGAAATTTCATTAAGGGCCATGTCCCTAATCACACTGAGAGTTACAAATACTGTTCCCTCCATGTGTAGGAGCACCATCACTCTACCAAACTGTTGCTTCCAAATGCCAAATCTGGGCCTAACTGAATGTTAACAAGTTCTACCCCAAATCTCCAAGCCACTGTAAAGAAGCATGGTAAGGTTTAGCTAGTTTAATTAAATACATTGCATCATATGTGTTGATCTTGTCTTTTAAAAATTTTATTTTATGAGTTAACCTGCATGGTTCAAATCCCCAACGAAATAAAAAGTGCAGAAAGTACCATCAAATTGTTATACAAAATATTTTTACATGCTCCATAGTGGTCAATATACCACTGGCACCTCATGATGTCAATTAGATTACAGTAGATGGTTTCTTCGTATTCCTTGCTTGTGTTCTTTGTGCCAACCTGAATATTCTACATCAGATCAGGCTCAATGGGATGGCTTAAAACCTAGCTTTCTAGTAACCATGTTGCCCACTTTAACACGTTATCCACCTAAAGTCGGCTGCCCCTTTCCTGGTGAGGATCACAGGGCAGAGAAAGTCACCATCACCAAAGGCCAAGAAAGAGAAATGTTTGTATGAAGCTAGAGAAGTATCTGTCTGATCCATACCAGAGTGATCCTACCAGTTTTAAAAAGAAAATAATTATCTCTGGAGAGGTACATCAGAAAGCCTTTCTGTTCTTATATGTTCAGTTTTTAAGAACCATACAGAAGAAAATTTCTGGCAGATTATAATTTATCTCATCACAATGTTTCATCAAATTTTCACTGATTCAGGCATCTGGTTTACCTTACAGTTTTGTTTGGCAGAGCTGCAGAAGAAATAGAACGGAAAAAGCACTATTTTCTTGACAATTCCTGACTCATTATTTACAAACATCTGTATATGTAAGAATGACTAGTTAACCCTTGCCTCAGGTCATATGAGGTGTATTTCCTTGAGAAGCCACTTTTGGTTAAAATTCCCAGCCTGATATTCACAACATCTAATAAATCAGATAAACTACTTACTACATTTTAAAAAGGACAATCATCTAAAAACGAACAAAGAAAGGCCCCATTCAATGCACACTCTTATTTCTGGCATTTATTGAGTCTAGATTTTTATTGAATTGCCCTTCTGAAAAATTGTAGGACGTGGTAGATAATCTTCTTAGTACTGATCCCTAAGATACGGTACGATCTAATAGACCAGCTAATACTTCAAGGAAGGAGGAAATTGCATTTAATGTAGCTCTGGTACTAATTATATCTTAATATTTTCTGGTCTTGCTGGATATAACAAGATATAAATTCTTCAGGCTTTAATAACAATAATATTAAAAACAAAATTAATGAAAATGCTGTCTAAGAATTATCATTTCATGATTTTTTAAAAATTATAAAAAATATAAATACCAAGAAATAAATCTAGAAAAGATATACAAACCCCCCACTACAAACTATTCAACTTTGCTGAGAGAAACTTTAGAAGAGTTAAATAAGGGAAGAAATATAGTCATAGATTAGAATACTCATTATAATTAAGATGCTCATTCTTTCCAAATTGACCTCTAGATTCAGTGCAATCAGTATCAAAATTCTCCACTTTTTTGAAGAAATTAACAAGATGATTCTAAAATATATAAAAACATACCAAGGATCTAGCATAGGAAAATCTTTTGAAATATTATCTAGAATAGCAAAAATATCTCTTAAAAGATTACTTAATAATATTTTAAAATATTTTTTATTTGGAGAGCTTACACTGTCTCATTTTAAGAGTAATAAAGTTACAATAATTAAGACAAATGTAGTATTGGTATAAGCATAGATAAATAGATCAAGGGAATAGAAATAGAATACAGAAATAGACCCACACCTACTACATCAATTGATTTCGACCAAGGAGTTAAATCAATTCAATGGAGATAGGGAAGTCTTTTTAACAAATGGTATTACAAAACTGGATATCCACCCAGGTCCACTCCTATGTAGTTCCATACACAAAAATTAACTTGAGCTGAATCAGAGACCTGAATGTAAAGCCCTGAACTATAAAGCTTATAGAAGGAAAATATCTTGACAATCTTAGGGATTGGCAAAGATTTCTCAGGCAGATGCAAAAAATATCATAAAAGGGGAAAAAACTGATACATTGGGCTTAATCAAAATTAAAAATTTATATAAATGACAAAGGATTTATATCCATAGCATATAAAAAGCTAATAAATCAATAATAAAAGGAACAGCTCAGTTTAAATGGGCAAAATATTTGAATAAGCAATTAACAAAAGAAGATATAAGAAGCCAATAAGCACATGAAAAAATGCTCATCATCATGGAAATTAAAAGGACAATAAGATCATATTTTATACTCACTAAGATGCTAAAGTCAAAGATTAACACAACCACATATTGGCTAGGATGTGGAGCAACTGGAACTCTAATACACTGTTAATCCTATATAATAAAAGGACAATATGCAAATTGACCCTAACAGCAGAACAACTGGGAATGACTGGTCACTATGACACACACTGACCACCAGGGGGCAGACACTCAATGCAGGAGCTGCCGCTTGGTGGTCAGTGCACTCCCACAGGGGGAGCTCTGCTCAGCCACAAGCCAGGCTGATGGTTGCCAGCACAGTGGTGGTGGCGGGAGCCTCTCCCGCCTCCTCAGCAGCGCTAAGGATGTCCGACTGCAGCTTAGTCCTGCTCCCCGCTGGCAAGTGGACATCCCCCAAGGGCTCCCGGGCTGCCAGAGGGATGTCTGACTGCCAGCTTAGGCCCAATCCCCTGGGGAGTGGGCCTAAGCCAGCAGGTGGACATCCCCCGAGGGGTCCCAGACTGCGAGAGGGCACAGGCTGGGCTGAGGAACCCCCCGAGTGCACAAATTTTTGTGCATCGGGCCTCTAGTAGAAGTATAAAAGAGTGATGTAACTATTTTGGAGAGTCCTTTGGCAGTTTCTTATGAAGTTAAACATACATTTACCATATGACCCAAAAATTTCACTGTGAGTTGAAATCTATCCAATATAAATGAAAATACTTATCTACAAAAAGAATTATACAAGAATGCTCTTGGCAAGCTTATTCATGCTACTGAAAACTGGGAATACAAGGAAGCCCATCAATAGGAAAATGGACAAATTATGATATATTTATACATAAAATATACATGAAATACCACTCATCAATTACAAGGAATGAACTACTGATACACAAAACAACATGAATGTATCTCTAAAACATCTTTTTGGGTGAAAGAAGCCAAATAAAAATTTCATATTGTATGAGTCCACAAGAATGAAAGAAAACTAATCTATGGTGACACAAGACAGAAGCAGTTGTCCGGAAGGGGGAGGGGTCAGATTAGAAAGGAGTATGAGGGTACTTTCTGGGAGAATTTGGAGGTAAGGAGGGCTTAGGGATAATCCTCAACTGGTCACAGAGCTCATTCTCTACCTCGGTTTTACCCACAACTCTGGTAACTCGTGGGTGAGGGCTGCCCATTGTACTAATGCCAGGAGAATATGGAATGCATAGTGTGTAAATATGTATAAAGTGTATCTGTATTTTGGAAATAAACAAAGATCAACTAAACAAGAAAAACAGGTTATGTATGCTGTCTGACATAGCGAGGGAGTCAGCCAACGACGTGTGTTTTAGCAAACTCAAAAGCAGGGAAAGGAATCAGAAAGCGTCATAGTGGGAGACAGAAGGCTTCAGGTATGCCCTGATTAAAGTCTGTTGGCCTGGGGCAGCTGAGGCAGGTTGACTAGAAGCTGGGCACCCTATGTGCTTTGTTAGGGGTGCACATTTGGCTTCCTTTGGTTGGTCCTACGTTGGAATAGGGACAAAAATTAGGGAAGTTGTCAATTCTTAATCAAGTCATGGACATTTGGGGCTGATTGGTATAGAAGTTATTGCTTAGCTCCCTGAATTGTCATAAATATGGAAATTTGGCTTCTTATAAGTTTGAATTAAAGCAGGCTGGCTTCCTGGGCTGTTTATTGTGGATAGGAGGTTGGCTTCTTGGGCAAGTTGTGGGTGAAAGTTCTATTTTATACTATGATCGGGTCATTTCAGTTTGTATATGCAAACTCTCAGTATTCATCAATCAGACTGATTAGTGGAGAGAGAGAGCAAACATATTCACCACTGTTAACTGCTTACGACGATGTGTAGGTTAAAGCTGCCTACAAAGAACATTACATAAAAGTGCTAAGTGGAAGGGGGGGGGGCGTGGATAAGAGAGAATTAGGAGAAAAATACATTTTACTACTAAGAAAATCTAATCTGTTAAAATCAGGGAACAAAGAATACCAAGATGGGCGGGTAGTTCCTGCAACTCCCTCCTCCCTAGGTGAGGTTTTCAAAATTGGGGCTGCAAGTCCAGGTACTTGGATATTGTTTCTTTCTTTTCAGTTTAAAAAAATTTGAGATAAAATGCACATAGCATAAAATTCAACATTTTAACCACTTTAAAGTGTACAATTCAGTGGCTTTTACAATGCTGTACAATCATCACTATAATCCGATTCCAGAACGTTCCGAAAGAG